TTAGAGATAGGGTGAGGGGCTCGGACATTCGGGAGGGACTCGGAGTAGAACCGCTGCTCCTCCGGATTGAAAGGAGCCAGTTGAGGTGGTTTGGGCATCTGGTCAGGATGCCTCCTGGGCGCCTCCCCGGGAGGTGTTTCGGGCACATCCTGCAGGCAGGAGGCCCCCGGGTCGACCCAGGACACGTTGGAGAGGTTACATCTCCAATCTGGTCCGGGAACGACTTGGGGTCCTGCCGGAGGAGCTGGTGGAGAAGAAGGACGGGGAGAGGACGTTCTGGAGCTCCCTAGTTGGGATGCCGCCCCTGCGACCCAGACACAGATAAGCCGAGGAAGACGACAACGACGAGGATGGGAGGCAGATTTTTTAGCTATCATGCTCCTCTCCTGTGGAACCAACTCCCAGCTTTAGTCCGTGAGGCAGACACCTTGTCTACTTTTAAGAATAGGCTTAAAACATTTTATTTGATAGGGCCCATGGTTAAAATCTGATGTTAGCCTAGATCTGGACAAGTGGTGGCGTAGAGGGAGGTGGAGAATACAGTTGGTAAAGACGGCTCTCCCTTGCCTTGCCTCCAACATGCCTCCATCTAAAAGGCTAGGTTATCCAGAGTTATCTCTGTATTTATGCTGCTATGGGCTTAGACTGCTGGAGGACATACTGACCACTTTCCACACTCGACTACTTTCTTCTACAATCTGCTCTTTAACTGTATTATTTTCTGCTATTTCAGCTCCCCAGAAACAGCTACAGTGGTGTTCTGCTGAGCTGCGGTAGCCTCATGGTGGGGGCCACCGGCTTGAACACTGCTTTTAACCACTTCAAACCAGGTGTGCCCAGCCCTGGTCCTCGAGATCCCCATATCCAGCATGTTTTAGAAGTTTCCCTGTTTCAGCACACCTGATTTGAATCAGTGGTGATTAACAGTGTTTTGCGGAGCCTGCGGAGCTGTTGAACAGTTGATTCAGTCAGTGAATCAGCAGGGTGACATATAAAACAAGCTGGATAGGGGATCTTGAGGACCATGGTTGGGCACACCTGACTTAAACATTCTCCCTCTCCTGATAATAACATTTAACTTTCTTTGATATGGAATGTGCTACTACTAGCTTACCAGTTGAATTAATTATAGATTCACTAGGATAAAGACAATAAAGTGTATCTCTCACTAAATAGAATATTTACTAAGAAATCACAATGTAACCATAGCACACTAATTGGTATATATGTTGTGTGTGTGTTTTGTTTATTTATTTATTTATTCATTTATTGGCAAAAATAAACAAACCTCCTAACAAAACATTTAAAAAGTATTGCCTTGGGTTTGGATGCATGTCTCTGTTAAAGCTGCTTAACCTAAACTTCAAGAACTTTTCCTGTCTTTGCAATTTATCCAGGGTTATTTACATTCTGCCATTAGGAAACATTCATATTCAGATAGAGCTGACGGGGATGAATTATCTGCTCATGCTAACACCTCATTCACACACTTCATATGTCAGCACGCACACACGCACACACACACACGTACGGGTGTAAAAAGACAAAGATAAAATTATTAGGAATGTTTTGTAGCTGTGACATGCAGCTAGGGTTGAGTTTGTGTTTATAAATGTGTGTCCATGTGCGTGTGACCTGTTAAGGATGGTCCAAAACAAGTGACATTGGTCCAGTAGACCAAACTAATGCAATTTTCTATTAATATGGTGTTCTGGATTTATCCCGTGTGCGTGCAGGCGGGCTTGTGTGTGTGTGTGTGTGTGTGTGTGTGTGTGTGTGTGTGTGTGTGTGTGTGTGTGTGTGTGTGTGTGTGTGTGTGTGTGTGTGTGTGTGTGTGTGTGTGTGTGTGTGTGTGTGTGTGTGTGTGAATCATAAACACATATTTGAAACTGGCACTCTGGTTTTGTTTAGATTGCTCCTTCTAAGGCTGGTGTGTATGTGTGAGCATGTGTGCAGCCATGTATGCATGTGTATGTGTGTGCGTGCATGTGTATTGTGTGTGTAAAACGTGTATGAACAATAAATTGGGAGGGTGAATATGTGCAGACTATAAATCTGTTTGTATGTGTGCCACAATGTTAAATCTCTCCTGTCACCATTTGAATCAACGCACACTGCAAAATCTATAAATGTTACCAATTAAGTGTGTGGTTGTAAATTAGACCCATAAACTGGTGCAGATGAAGCCTTTAAATCTTCTGCAGCAACCTAACCCATCACAAATTACACCTGGCATTTTACAGAGTGATAAAATATACTTTCACTTACTTTAGGAGGTGGTAATGATGATGCGCCACAACCAAAATCAAATGTAGTCTCTAGGAAAGCACAGCTGAGGCATGTTAACAGACTGGATCCAGTAAATACATGCCAGCAAACTCTAATTTGAGACTAGTAGCTCTTGTGAAACAGAATTTAGGTTTTACCAAAACCAACCTTTTCCTGTCTGGACACAAATGCCTTGTTATCATATTTAGAGAGATGTTTAGAAATGTTTTTGTTTGTATGAAATTTGGAATTCACCAATATCTGTCATTGTTTTCTTAACTTTGGTGTAGTCATGTTTAAAAACTCACCCCCAACCCACACTCTGAAATATATTCAATGATTGCTGCTCAGTACTTTGTTTATGACTGTTGAAGTTGGTAACACGTCTCACAAACTTTTAACACAACTCTTAAAAGGTTGTCCTTGGATGAACGCCATCAATGATAGGCAAATATTCAGAGGGAACTCATTTGGTGAAAATGTAAAAATGGTTGCTGTGCCCTGAGCACGGTCTAAAATCAGCTTGATCCGGACTAAGCCTTACATTAAAATGTTGCTGTGTTGATAAGAACAACATTAAATACAATTAAATCAAACAGATTCTGAGTATTATTTGGTTATTTTTTGTAGTTTAGTTTTATCCTGTCCCCAATGGCAGAGACCCCCTTCATCTCGTTGTAAGGATACACAAAACATCTTTTGTGAGGTTGTGGTTGTTTTATTGTTCCAGTAACATTGTAGAAAGGGTCTGGTTTGAGTGCTGTGGTATCAAATAAAAACATTCTCATATAGAAAAGAATCTGAAGCAGGACTGACCATGCTGCTGCCATGTGCTAGACTATGACGCCATCTTTTAAAGTCTTCATGTGATCTGAGAGAGACATGACAGCTCAAGATCCAGAGAGTGGTGAATCGTGTGTGTGATCAGTGTGCAACCCTGCTGTTGGTGTATAGAGCATGTGGGAGAGCATCTCAGGGTGAAACAGAAGACGGAGGGTCCGTGTCCCTTTCTGGTCGCCAATATTTCGGCGTAGATGCATTATTAAACAAAGAGGACTCAGAGTTGGAAGCTTTACTGAGAACTTGAATACTAGTTGTGTTTCCCTTAAAGGAGTTCACAGAAATTTCTGGGAAATGGAAAATTGACCAGAAGATACGATGACTCAGTTCTCAACTGTTGTGTCTTCATACAAATTCAGCTCTTTCGGGACATCTTTGCTAAGATGTCAGCATGAACGCTGCTATTTTTCTTTTCCTTCTCTTCTGCTACACCAGCAACTGTTCCAGCTTCACAAATCCAGCTTGTATTGGTTGACATCTGATAACCAGTCAGCACGAGTTAACCACAGGTTCTGCCCAGCTCCTCCTCTGGGCCTTACGAGTAACTACCCCTGTTCCGGTGCTTCGTTGGTTTCTGGAAATGGTCCTTTCAGTCAGCGAGCTGAAATGGAGACATGCTGTAAGGTTCTGGCAAGATTACCCTCAAGTTCCGATAGTGGAAACACACCTAACGATCACACAGGTATCACATACCAAACTAGTCTCACAGATCAGACTGAATCACAACTTACAGCACATCTGATTTCAATCAATAGGTGAGTCATAGATTTCTACCAATTGTAACAGCATGTATGAAGAGGTAATTCAACCACCTAACTGGGGAAAGGAAACGTCTAAAATGTGTGGACAGTGGACTTTGAGAAACACGGCTTCAGTGGGTCACGTAGCATGGTCCTAATGTAGAATAAAGACATTGTTATCAACGTGTTTTCGACAAAAAGTGAATTTGTATTGAAGAATGAAGATTGGACTCTCAGGAGGTATTTTAGGGTGATAGATTCTCAGATTTGGCTTTGGTAGACCAGAGTGTGTGATTTTATGGAAGAGCCTTGTGGCAGGAGCCCGAGGGCGATCGTTGAAGCAGTTACATTTGTCTGACTCACTGACCATCAGGGGAAAAGGAGACGGATGGAAAGATAAGAGAAATTTAAAGAAAGAAAAGAGTGCCTGAAGGAGAGGGAAAGGGTGAACCAGGTGAGGAGAAGGAGAGAAGTCCATTTGGGGACGCTGCTTGTCGTTTTCGGTATTGACCTTTAGATCTCAGCAGCTGCTTCTTGTCTCTCATGTACAACTTGTTTTCTGTTCGTTCTGGTTGACCTGGTCTCACCCACAGTTGCCACAGCAAACTTTCTTCTTTTATCTTTTTTCTTGTTTTATTTGGTCCCCCCCCCCCCAACCCTTCCCCATTTTCTACACAATTATGTAGTCCCTCCCCTCTCTGATTTCTCTTCAATTACTTCCGTGTATCTTCCTGTTCCACATTCAAGCTGCATTGTGATCTTTTGTTGTCGTTCTCTTCTTCCCTCAGACACAAATGCTATACAGAAATATTGTGTTGTTCCATATAATTCTTTTAGCTCCTTGCTTTACTGGCAGCCCTTCAGCCAAACAAAAATGTATACAAGTCCATCTTTTTAATCTATTATTGCATCTGCAGTGAAGAACAACATCATCAACAAAGCAGATAAAAAATCTGCCTGTTACATCTCCTTCTTACATGCTTTTTCTGTTTATCTTCTGTCCTTTACTTTTCCGTACACTACTTTCATATCGTTTTTTCCTGTAGTCATGCAAGTGTTTTTGAGGGTTCATCAGTTTATATTTGAGCCTAAAGTTGTACCACTGTGCAAGCGCTTGATAAAACCTTCCGATTTGTCTCTTTCCTCTTTCAGTGGACGGATGCATTGACTGGTCGGTGGACCTGAAGGAGTACCATGTGCTGGCTGGTGAGCCTGTCCGGGTCAAATGTGCCTTGTTCTACAGCTACATACGCACCAACTACACCATGGCCACAAATGCCAAGCTGCGCCTCATCTGGTACAAGAACAAAGGAGATGCAGAGGTAAAATTGGTTAGAAGTCCTGATGTATCAGGAGAGAGCATGGTAGAGAAAGGCATATCACCTACAAACTAGCATTTTTCCCAAATTAACTTTTGTCATCTTTTCCAATTTATCCATCCACCCATACAATTTCCTGCTGCTTATCCAGGGTCGGGTTGTGGGGGCAAGAGCTTAAGCAGGGAGGCCCAGACTTCCCTTTCCCCAGCCACTTGGGCCAGCTTTTCATAGTCCCTCCAGCGTGTCCTGGGTCTTCTCCTGGTTGAATGTGCCCAAAAAACGTCACCAGGGAGGCATCCACAAAGCATCCTAATCATATGCCCGAGCCACCTCAACTAGCTCCTCTGGATGTGAAGGAGCAGCGGATCTACTCCGAGACCCTCATGGTTAACCGGGCTGCTCACCTTATCTTTAAGGGAGAGCCCAAACCAGACACCCTGCGAAGAAAACTCATTTCGGCCGCTTGTATCCTCAATCTCATTCTTTCGGTCAATACCCAAAGCTCGTGACCATAGGTTCTCCATCTTTCTTCTCACTCGTGAACAAGATCCTGAGATAATTAAACTCCTTCACTTGAGGCAGAACCTCACGCTGACCTGGACACATTCTATCTATTGCTAAACTAAAATAACTTGGGCTTGGAGTCAAGTCAAAAACAAATCACAGTCAGTCAGAATCTTTTATGGACTTTGACCCAGTCAATGACCTCCACTCGCCTCCCTGGGGTACTTTGCAGGGGCACTGCTTTAGGTTATTGCGTTGTAAAATCCACCAGAGCTAACTCAAAGCAATAATTCTTAAAGGGATATTCCACCCCTGAGTCAAGTTTGTCTGTTGCCATATTCCCCAGAGTTAGATGAATGGGAAAAGGCATTTTGTAAACAGCCCAGTCATTCTCTGAATCTGGCAGTTGTCTATTAGCTTTAGCTTAGCATAAATAGCATAAATAATGTAAATGAATGGTAACAGCTAGTATTTCGATCATTCAAATTCAAAAAGGCACCTACTTCCATAACCCAAAAGTTGTGACTACTAGACCGGTATAGTTTTGGAAAGAACGACATATTAAGTTGAACTAAAAATGGCAGAGTACACGACTGACATAGTAGGTGTCTTTAGGGGTCGTTGTGTTACGTCTAGACACCTTGAAGTATCGGCTTACGGCAGTACTTTGTCTCAGTCTGCTTGTGACCTTTTAACCTTCAACCCCAAACAGTGCGTGACAAGTCTCGTGGTAAATGATGCTGAACTCTCAATGGCCCCACAGACTGACTCAGTAGTGAGGTCTTGCTTTTATCAGCTTTGTTGCCTTACTCACCTCAGAACAATCTTGAAGTGGAGGCATTTGGAGTAAGTCATCCATGCTTTCATTACCTCTTGCCTGGATTATGCAAACGCCCTAATAGTTGCTGCTCCCGTCTCTGCCCTGAATCAGCTGCAGGTTGTCCAGAACGCTGCTGCCAGGTTCTTGACAAATACGCACTGACATAGCCTTATTCAATTCAATTCAATTACGTTCAATTCAATTCAAAGATACTTCATTAATCCCTGAGGGAAATTAGAGTTTCAGTACACACAATTCTGAGATCAGACATACATAGGCAAAGACACATGACAAGAATTGGTGACTGTGGTCATTCGCAACCCTGAGTCGCGCTACCTTAATAGAGAGCAGAGGGGTTACATGAGGACTGGATCAGGTGAAAAAATGGCACTTCAGAGTTACCCTCCACAGGGAGGGCAGCTTTGCTATGCAAAAAACACCTCAGACAGAGATGCAACAGACTTCAGACATCAGACAACATAAGTGTCCACTAGGTGGGGTGGTGGGTTTGGGACTCTCCACACGTCAGTTCCTGCAGCCACGATAAGCAGCGCACCTTACCTCAGTCTGGACAGGGGAAGGAGGTTGTTGAGGTTTGGTGGGCACAGTGACTCCTGGAACGATTCGGTGGCCTTCACAGCCCGAAGTCCAGCCCAGGCTGGGATAGGAGAAGGAGTTGCCATAGCGACGGCAGCATTCCACATTTCTTCTGAGGGGGGAGTTTTCGTTGTAGCCTTACAGGCTCAAGGGCACCAGATTCAGATTAGAAATTGTTTGGGAGCCAGACAGAGATAATTTGCTCTCTGTCTTAAAAGTTTTGTTGGTCCTCAACCTCTCAAAATCCAGATAATGGCATAAATTCATCTATCCCAATCCGTGCTGGTTCGTCCACATTCTCCTTGATGGCATCCATCTTTTGTGCCAAAGCATGAATCTCAGCCAAAGTTCTAAGCTTACGATTCATCTCGACACTTATGTGAGTCTGTGAATTCACAGCACAGTGTAATCCATCCCTGAGCTCGGGGAGAGCACCAATATTCCTCGACAGCTCGTTAATTTTCCAGTAAGCCAAGAAGCCTCCAAGGCCAAAGAGCAGGAAACCTGACACCAACACCACGAATATCCAGACGTCTTCAGAATCCTCTACAGACAGCTGAGATAGGCAAATCAGGTTCCACTGTTTCCAGGGGTCCATGATATGACCAGCTGGGTCTGTCCCAGATGGGCATCCGGGAGCCCCTTCTCCTGTTCTCATCGTTGAAAAAATTTGATCAATCGCGATAAGTGACCAACTGACAAGATCCATGTTAGTAATTTCAGTTTCCAGTTTCCAGGAAAAATGCAGAAGCAGCCGTGCACCCAAAGACAGACAAAGAGCCTTGAGGGTAAGATAGGGAGGAAAGGAGGGAAAAGGCGCCTGCACTCTCCAAGAGCCGGAAGAAGAATACCCCTGTCTGTCATGTTGTGAGTCAGGAGGAGGTTAGGACCCAAGATGCAGAAAACCCCAGAATGACAATGGCAGGTAGAAAAATGTAAAATCCTTTATTTAGGAATAAATGTCCAAATAAATCCAAAGAGGGCAGGAAGCCAAAAAAAAAAAAAACAATGTCCAAAAATCCTGGAGACGAACGCTCACTTAAAGAGCACAAACCTAGAGACCTAGAGGGGGGAACGAGACAGCGCTGACACAACAACAATGAACTGACAACCAACTGAGACGCAGACAGGGTTATATACACAGGGGCTGGGTGATTAGGGAATTGTGCACAGGTGAGACTAATAAACAGAGAGGAGGAACACAACGGAGCAGGGGAGGAAACCAGACCTAAAAATGGGGAAGGGAGCAAAATGAACTAAAGAGAGAACGTAAGGGAAACCTAGAGAGAACCTGGAGGGGGCTGGGGAACCACAGGGACACAGAAACCTAAGGGGAACACCTAAGGGAAAAAACCTGGAGTGGGCTGGGGAACACAAGAAGGCACCTGAGGGGGGGACGCAGACAAGGAGACACACGAGGAACCCAAGGAGACACATAAGGGGAACCTAGAGAGGGATGGAGAACACAAGGAGACACATGAGGGAGACGCAGAACATGACACTGTCCTGACACTTCTTCACTGGCTCCCTGTCATTTTCCGAGTACAGTTTAAGCTATTGACTTTTGACTTTAAAGCACTTAATGACCTGGCACCTACCTATCTCTCTGACCTGCTCACTCCCTATGTACCTACGTGCACATTGAGGTTGGCTGACCTCCTGCTGATTTGCACTCCCTGGACGCATTACAAATCACGGGGTGAACGAGCATTTGTACATGCTGCCCCAAAGCTGTGGAACTCCCTACCTATTATAGTTTGACAGGCTCCATCATTGGCGGTTTTAAAATCTCGTTTAAAGACCCACTTCTATGATTTGGCTTTTAGACCGTGACTCGTTTTAGTGTTTTATAGTGTTATTGTTTTATTGTGTTCTTAGTAGTCCTCATTATTTTAATTTGCTTTTATTGATTGGCATTTTTATCTTCTGTTTTTGTTGCTTTGACTGGTCGTGTTTTGGTCCAGCCTGTGCAGCACTTTGGGCAGCTACCATGCTGCGTTTTAAATGTGCTATGTAAATAAACTATGGTATGGTATATAGTCCCAAGTCTAAATCGACTTCGGTATTTCCTTCATGTTGCTTATTCTTTTTCTATGCAGTGGATATAAAAAATTGGGATCATTATTGAGTGATTTTCATGATTTTTTCACCCAAAATGGTAGCTGTTACTATTCACCTATACTGTTTATGTAAAGCTAAAGCAAACAGAATACTGCCTAACCAGGAGAAGAGAAGATTGGTCGTGCTTGTTTGTAGGTGCTAAATACAAATTTTCTGCACCATTTTACAAGTAAATTCTTTAAAAATCATACAATGTGATTTCCTTTTGACAAATGTTATTATTTCCACCCATTCATTAACCATTTCATTCAATTACAAAGTTTATGTCCACTTATGTTCATGAAATAACCCTTTTACCAATTTTATTATGTATTTATAGACTAAGTGTAAGGACGGCCTTGCTTGGGCAGTATATTATATGGGTTTCTTTGTGCTCTAAATATGTTGTTTATTTGCAAATCACCTTTCTGATGTGCCTTTTAGGAGCCCATCATCTTCTCTGGTCACAGGCTGAGTAAAGAAGACGACTCCATCTGGTTCCGATCTGCTGAGTTGGAAGATAACGGCTTCTACACTTGTGTTCTAAGGTATTGCATCTGCACAGCTATGAGTGTAGCTGCTCTAAATTCAATCTGACCAGGAGCTTGGCTCTAAAATGCATAAGCTACAACCCAGGCTCTCTAAGGAAGAATGATTCAGGGTTATTTCAGGGTCACATCGATGCGCTGCTGCTGCTAACACGTTGTGAGTATCACATGAAACTGCTCCTTTTTCCAGAAGGGAGCTGGGTCAAAGTACACCCAACAAAACACTTTTATTTTGAACTTTCAGACCCAGTCCTAACACGTTTGCTTTAAAAGACTAAATAAATGTTGTAAGGCTTTCCGCATGATGTGAAAAAACTGTTCTTTTGTACGAAACCTCAGTCAAAGTTGCACTATTTTTAGTATTTGCGTCAAGGTGCAATTTGTAAGAAGTCCACAGTGAAATTATCACAAAACAGTCCGTCATGTTGGAAGGAAGGTTTTACTGAACAGACTTCATTCTTAGATGGCTGGATGTTGTCAGGTTTCCTCCTTTAAAACAAAAAAAGAACGGAAGCAGGATGTAGTTAACATTTACACTCTGGGTGTTTGTAATGTTGGCGAAAACGCAGCAGTGCAGGAATCTGTGCTTCGACACCAGCAGGAGAAAGCTCCAGAGTTGTTTAAAGAACCAAAGCCAGAGTGACCATTTACTGGTTATTTCTTGTATCCCTAAGAGGCCACGGCATCTTTTTGTTTTACTTTAATATCAGGTGAAGTAGGCTAGAGGCTAACGTTGAGCTAACAAGGCTAATTAGAAATAGGAACAAATAGTCTGCTTTAAAGACGTCTCAAGCTACAGTTACAGGCAATTTGATCTAACAGGAAAATGTGTGTGTGAAGTGAATAATGAGTCAATAGTGCAGTTTTAGTTCCTTTAATGAGTCGTTCAGAACTGTAACAGCAAGCTAGCAGCAAGATAGCAAACAACCCCACTTTCTCTAATTCTGGATTAACATTACCATAATAACTGTAGAAAGTGCTCCCTACCGCAAAACACCTAAAAGTGCTAACATCAGATATGACGATGTATTTATCTACATATCAACTTACTGAGTATGACTCATCTTTGCCATCTAGAATCTTCTGGTGCTGATCTGTAACTGGCATGAAAGTGAATTTATTGCTTAGAAAAATAGACTGCAGTTATCTAATTTAACCACAGGGTGTCAGGCGCACACACACACACACACACACACACACACACACACACCAGTAGTACCCTTTAAAGTGCCTCCTGACAATCCATGCACTGTGGTCCTGTCTACCTGTCCAGGAATTTTGGGGTAGAGTATGTGAAGACCTGTTAGTGTCTGAAATGTCATATCCCAACTTCCCCCTCTCTTTGTTTACTGGGAAACCTGGACGATGTCCCGATTGAAACATCTTTGGTTCACGTGGTTCTGACTGCCATATGCATCGCTAAGAAAACTATCCTCATGAATTGGAAAAATAGAGATACTCTCTGCATTAACCAGTATAGAAATCTTTAGTTAGATCATATTGCACTTGATTTAGCCTCTGCTTCCACTTCAAACAAATCTCTCTGGGCTCCTTTGATCGGTTCCATCACATAGCGATGACGGGGGATCATTGATATTGACCTACGGGGTGATGTGGGTGATGGGGTGGAGGGTCTGAGTTTGGAGTATCCGGACGTTCCCTGGAGGTGGGTTCATTGGGGGTGTCTGGGACTGGGGGGCTGCTGCCCCCCTCTGGAGGTGTTTGGGTTGCCTCGGGGGGTGGACTACTGGCGGTTGTGAGTGGGGCCCCTTGGAGGTCTTGGCGGCAGCCATGGGTTGATGCCTGTAAGCTGCATTGCCCCTGGGCGGGTCTAGGTGGGGGGATCGGAGTGTGGGGGTGGCCGGCCCCGTGTGGGGATCTGGGCGGGGCCTTGGGGGTCAGTTCCTGACATGTATGGTGCCGGGGAGAAGGCAGGAACATGCCGCAGTGCCTGGCCCAGGCTCAGGGGCCTCGGGTAGACCTTGGCTCCTCTGTTGTCCCATCACAGGGGAGGGGGAGGACCCAACCTTACCTGGATGTCCTATTTCTTATATATCCTGGAAGTTGTGCAAATGCAGGGATGGGAGTAGATATTCTGCTGGGGTGGGGCTGGGTTGGTGCTCTCGGACTCTGTGAGGTTCTGCGGTGCTGTTGCTTTAGGCCCTGACAAGATGGGCGGGGGTCTCCATGCCCCGGGTGGCATTTTGGCAACAGTGGTCCCTATTGGGGCCAGTGGGGGAGCTGGCTCCCTGAAGGGCTTAAGCCCAACCAGCCATTCCTCCCCATCCCCACATATTTCTCTCCTCCTGCTCCCTCACATCATCACACAAACATACACATAGGACCTTGGGGGGTGGACAAGTCAGGGAGTGCGGGTACAGACCCCATTTCCGCATTCCTGTGGCAACCTGCCCCCCAATTTTATTTGCACCTTATACACTTCCAACAATGACATTCCACGCAAACACACACTTAGGGCCTTGGGAGTGAGCACATTCAACGGCAGTTGGCAGGGGGATTTCTCAGCCTCATCCCGAGTGCCGGTGCCCACTTCCAATTTTAAACTGCACTTAGACACCGAGGGCTGTGGGTGCAAGTGGGGTGGTGTGGTGGCATCAGCTGGCATAGGCCAGACGATGCCTGCACTGCCCGCTCACCACAGCCATGGAATACACCTCATCAACACGCACTAACACTATATTGGAGCAGGCGGGGGAGACCAGGGGTCTCAGCAAACCTCTGTTGTTGCTTGGCTTCCCTGGGCTGGAGGCTAGGAGGGGGATCTGGCTGTCTGGTTGAGGTCTGGGGTGGTAGGTTGCTGTGCTCGGCATTGGGCGGGGGAGCCTGCTCATTAGCACCCCAGCAGAAAGGGTCAAACTCTGGTAACCAGTAATTCAAACACTGTAATCATAACATGACATTCATTTCAAACTTCATTCATTGAGCACGGATTAATGAAATATTTATTATATTATAATTATTAGAAGTAGCAGTAAAAAAAACTTTTATTTAATGATTTTCTTGCTTATAAGTTGTAGGAGTTCATATCTGATTTAGGAAATCATTCTTTGACTTGGCAACTAATCCGGGCTGCGAGTGTTCCTTATATAGAGTCATGAAGAATCCTGAAAGATTGGACCTTGAGGAGAGAATATTACTGTTGACATTTCGTAATCAGTGTTCAGAGCTGCAGGCTCCGAGCTGATGGAATGAAGGCAGGCCAATTTAAAGGGAACACATGCAGCCTTGTGTCTTCTTTTTGACCAGATGTTGAATAGATGTTGAAGGGTCAAATTGTACCTAGAAACTGACCATTGCTGGATGTTACACTGGTAAGTCATTGAATAAAGACAAAATGGAAATGCTGAGTGTGAAAAACTAAATCCGCCTTTTTGATTCTCAGAGATGTAGAAGGTTCAGGATCAGTCGGGAGCCACTGATTAGATTATCAGAAACTCTGGAGCACACAGGTGTGTGTTAACACAAGAGAGACCAAAACAATAACCTGAAAGCAGGTAAATCCACTGCTTGTCAATCTGAGAGGAGTTAAAGGTCATTTCTAAGTTTTTTTTTATCTACAGAGAGCAGCAGCAAATCTACAACTGAATGACTGTCAAGAATCAAGGATCTGGAACGGTTCTGACGTGTTGTTTCTCATCCCTACTTTACAACAGATGCTAATGAATCACAAAACGTACTTTAGAGCGATTAGCCATCGTTTTAGTGGGCGGGTCCCTTTGCCCCGGCTGCTAGGCAGCACGTTTTGGACACGTCCCAGAAGCAGGAAGACGTGTTGCTTACGTTTTGAGTCCGTTTATATGTGCAGCACTTCCAGAACACGTCAAACTCAGCAGTTCACATCAGGTCAGACAGGAAGTCCACCACAAAAGCAGTGTAAAACATCTGGAAGTTTTCAAAATAAAAGTAATGGCTGTGTGGAACACTTTCGTTCCTGTTTGTTAGCGGGCTCGTGGGTGAAACGCCTCTGCTATGTTACACACCACTCACGCGTCTGGTAGGAGGGAGGAGTTAAGCTGCAGGGTGAAGAGGTGGATGTTGTTTATCACACTAAGATTTGCTTTGTCTGGTGGAGCCTGCTGGTGTTTAAGCTTCACCTGAAGTTAGATTTCAATTGTTTTGGAACCTGGTGAAGACCAGATCATGTTGTCCTGATATGTAAAACCTCTTTGTCCAATCACACCGGTTCTTTCTCTAGGCCTTCAGTTCTCCTTCTGCATCTTTCTCTTTTTCCATCCTCCCTCCTTTCCCAGGTCTCATTGCTCTCCGTCCTCATCCTATTCACTCTTCTCCTTTATCCGTGTCATCCTCCCCCTCATCCTTCTGCTCCTCTGCTCTCCTCCTACCTTTCCCTGCCATAGCTTGACACCTATTCTCTGTAATAAGCTCTTTTTCCCGTCTCCCTCTCTTTCTGTCTTTCCCCTCGCTCTCTCAGCATGACAACCTAATTAGGGCTTGGTGTCTGTCATTGTCTCAGGGCCTCTTATTAGCGCGCACGCGCGCGCGCACACACACTAACACACACACACACACACACACACACACACACACACACACACACACACACACACACACACACACACACACACACACACACACACACACACACACACAGAGAAAAGCAAATCACCTCACATCCTAGTGGGGAGCCACCAACTGGATCATATTATGTTCCTAGAAGGTTGGATCTAGAGTCTGAAACTACGAGCTGAAAATGCCGCTGGGAAACGTGACTTCAGGACCAGTTTGTTGCCCTTGATCAGATTTATATTGTTGTTGCCTTAAGGACGCTGACACACACTTCCTCTTGTTTACAGTCACTCCAATAAACCAACTCAGAATTAATTTCATCCTGATTCATGACGCCTGGCTCCGGTTGGAATTGGATTAATGCAAGAACAATAAAAACAATGTCTGATTCGTTTCAGCTGAAGTGACAGCTTGGAATGTAGAGTCTTTGATTTTAATTTGGTGGAAAGTTC